GTCTCCTTAAAGGAAAACGATTGGCTAAAATATAGACTCTCATCATAGCAGTTATCATAGCACTCCTTATTTCAGACCCGCTTTGTGCATACCTCTATCTTATGAGTAAAGTTCCATTTGAGATTATTAAAATATTTTTCCAGGCATGTACTGGCAGGAAATATAGTATAAAATTTGTCATTTATAAAGAGAAATATCTGGTTGATCCAATTTCGTTTTGCTCTCTCTGCAATCTGGGTGCAGGACCTTTGACACATTTTGTTAATTGTCCTGTTTATGAACCAGTTAGAATGGCTTTCTTAAATAATGATACTCATGACGATTAATCCATTTTACTTAGTGAAATTCTAGTAGAGGTATTGAAAGAACCCAGTGATAAAAACATGTATAAGGTTTACAAACAGCTACTAAATTCACTAGTTTCATGGTCCGCTTGACCAATTAATATTTTACAATTAATTAAGGTTTTTAGTTGAGATAAAAAAGTCAATGGCACGAGCGGGATTCGTACCCACGATCTTCGGCTAGATACGCTGCTGCTGTACCACTTGAGCAATCGTGACTTCGATCCCCTCGGGCACTAACTTCCCATCTCAACCCCACCTTTTGAATTTTCCCTCCTTTTTGCCATTTTTCAAATGTCGTGTAATCTATTTGATTCTCGGCGACAAATGAAATGGCACCGGAGAACTTTAGTGAAGGTATAATTCAATTTAAACTTATTAAATTCACTAGTTTCGTGGTCCGCTTGACCAATTTGAATTTTCCCTCCTTTTTGCCATTTTTCATTGTGTGGTTGAGATGGGAAGTTGGTGTCCGAGTGGATCGAGGTCACGATAGCTCAAGTGGTACAGCAGCAGCGTATCTAGCCGAAGATCGTGGGTACGAATCCCGCTCGTGCCACTGACTTTTTATGTCAACTAAAAACCTTAATTAAGTGTTTACAACTACCTTACTCAGGCTGTGTAAGTGAAGCCTTTTATGATATACGAGTGAGAAATATGAATTATGAATGTATGTAATGAACAATATTGTAATTTACTACTGAAAAAAAAACTGTAAGTAATTTTATTGTTGAACTCCCTGCATGGATTTAGTTATATTAAACATGTATTTAATCATAACAAAAACTATATATTTATATTTCGATACCGATATTTTCTTAATATCTTAAATTGTATTATTTCAAGTTGTATTATTATCTGTTAATTAAATACTGGTTCATGTACTGTGTTGCTCTTTTAAGCAGAAAAATAAATTAAACAAATCGCTTGTGTGACGAGCACAATGCGATGTATATCAGTTTATGTAATCAGCGTAGAGTGTTAAAACGATATTTACACCAGCACAGATTAACTCTGTAATTAAAACAAATTAGAGTGTTTATTTTGAATCGTATCCACTCAGCGATTCTCACAACACAAAGGATTAAAGGTTTATTCGAGTCGGCGGGTTTCAAAAGAGGATAAATCCAAAGGAATCGTAGCAAAAACGAATTACTACCGCGTGGAGGTCTTCGAACGCCATTCGAAAAGCAATTTTTGAGAAGAAAATTGAATCCCTTTTTGGCGATCGACTTGATTTCTAACACATCTCAAAGCTCACCGATCCTTATATTGTATTGACAGCTTACATTGTTCCTCACTATGTGCTATCAGAGATACAAAAATCAGAGTCACCTGAACGTTTTGTTTATTAATTTTTTTGTCAAATATTTTGTATGAATTTCCAATGATTGACGTAATTGAATGTATCAAGACCTGATGGTGTTATTGCATTTACTACATTTTAAATATTTAGCCAAAATTTGATAAATTAATCTTAGTCTATCTATACAGAAATCACCAAAACTCTGAAGATGCAGAAAGGCGTCTGAGCCAACAAAAATCAGCGAGGATAGGCAGACCACGATGATAGGCAACTATCAAACAATAGGTTTATCACCCCGCAGGCCAAAGAGGAAATCTCATAAATATTAATCTGTTTAGGTATGACTTAGCACGTATCCAAAGGTATTTATATGGAGGAAAATAAAAGCCGAATTCCTTCCAAAGGCGGGTAGTCGCCAAATAGCCTTAGCACAATCAATATGGCCAAAACGCCTAACTTTCTTGGTATAGAAGACAATGGAGAAGATAATAGGTGAAGAGATAAAAAAAGATCTTGCAACAAACACACACAGATCAGAACAGAAAATCCACGAAAACTGCCCTAATGTACTGATAGAGCAAGGTAACAATACATGGAAGAAAAAGTAATAACATGATTGCTGCTTCATGGGCATAGAACATGCTTTTGATAACACTATACATGAATCCATTGAGGCAGCAGCAAGGAAAAAAGAACTGTACAAAGGACAATATCAATGTTAAAAACTCGAAAAATAGAAGTCGAATTGAGACATCAATCAATAAAAATCGTACGACCACAATGGAATAAAAACTGACCATAAAATTCTCAAAACGGATCAAGATAAATGAAATGGCTACAAAAAATCTGAAAAAATGAAATAAAAATAAAAATTTGAAAAACCCTACCAATATAAAACACAAATTAAGAGATGTTTGGAAAAATAAAATCACTGAAACAAGTAAATGGGCCTTATTGTGGTATACAGATGGATTTAAAACGAAACATGGAGTCGTGGTAGAAGTCAAGGGCGACCTTGCCTTCGCTAAATCTATAGTCATCACAGCATCAATTTTCCAAGCTGAGATTGATATTATTACAGTTTTGAACATTACTGTCTGAACTAAGGATTGACCGTCCTGACATATATTGTGAGATTTCCTCCTGTGGTCTGCGGGGTGGTGAACCTATAATTTGAGAGTTACTTTCTTGTTGATAGTTACCTCTTGGGGGTTGAGGCAGAAGTCAAAGACACAAATCATAATTTAAAAAAATCATATTCAAAAACAGTCAAGCAGTACTGAAGGCTTTAGACTTTCCCGTAACTCCAACTCCTGGGAAAACAAGACCAGGTAACTTAATCAGGTAACATTGATGTGGTATGTCAGGACGATCATGGATAAATTGTAAGGATTAGAAATAGCCGGGGTAGGCTTGACCCCCAACAAATATACGAAGAAAGAAATGATTACACACTGAATGAATTCACCAGAAGCAAAACAATGAAAGAAGAGCCTAAACATCTCAACCAGAAAAAGCAACTCTACCTCTCTCTGTCAGCAGGATAGAATTAAAGAAAATAATAGCCCTTTTTACTAATCAATGCCCATTTAACCCGACTCTGTCATGATACAGCAAACTGTACAATCTCTTTGAACAGAGATTACCTTCATTAACTAACACCTAGTAAGCAGGCGGATATTCCATTGCTGTAAATACTTATGTTTTTTTAAAAGGGTATATTTTGTTATTTACAATAATTGTCAAGTAAAGCATTATTATTATTATTATTAAATTCACTAATTTCGTGGTCGGCTTGACAAATTAATGCATTACAATTAATTAAGGTTTTTAGTTGAGATGAAAAAAAGTTAATGGCACGAGCGGGATTCGAACCCACGATCTTCGGCTAGATACGCCGCTGCTCTACCACTTGAGCTATCGTGACCTCGATCCACTCGGACA